CATCCACCTCCTCCAGTTTCTCGATAACATCAAGCACAAGCAGAACAGGCACAAGCACAAATTCCAGCACATCCTCCAGCACGTCAACAAGCACCAGCACATCCTCAAGCACGTCAACAAGCACCAGCACATCCTCAAGCACGTCGACAAGCACCAGCACATACACCTTTCCACCTTCAAGCGCTGACGCTGCTGCCACTGAGCTAGTGCAGCTCTACGTCCCAAAAGGACACCACCCAACTGCTTGCAGCCGGTTTTTGAAAAGAAAAAGCGCCGATTACGGCGACCTGTGTGTGTCAACCCCTGTGCCAAAGGGTTCACTGCCAACTTCTACCTTTTTCACAGCAGGGGGCCATCCCCCTCCCCAGTGGCGGATGGCCAACGAAGAGGCCACTGGGGGGGGCTGCAAACGTACCTGCTACAACTGTTGAACACGCAGTCCAATTTGATCAGTTTGATTCATGGTCCTTCATGATACCTACCCCTTAAACTTTTTTCTTTTGCCGCCGTCAGCTGCGCCGCTCGTTTTCGCCACCGCCGACTTGAGAAACAGCCTTTGTTCAAACACCTTCAACTTTTCGGACCTTTCACCCTGCCGTTCCTTCGCCATTTTTGACCTGGGAACTGAGTTAACTGAAAACCAATGTCAGAGTGTGTGAACACAACGTTTTACCACTCCCCGTGATGCACCCACTACCATGTTCTCAGGTTTAGATCGATTGGCTTGTGTTGCAAATCCGAAACGTTCAAACACAACGTTTCGCTTGGTTGCCGGCGTTCTAGTTTGAGGGGAATAGTAGTATTCAGTGAAGGCATTCTTGGAAAACAGGCACTCAAAAATTTCAACGGTTTTGGGACAGACGTGTATGTTTACCACCAGAACTTTGTGAGAAGGTGTTTTTTTGGGGGTTGATGGTCTACTTCTCCAAACGTGATCACATCACATCATAGCCCAGACAATCCATTTGATAGAATGTTTTCCCCAATTGGGGTATTCTTCAGAGCCCATGTAGGTCAATCTTGCGGCCAGCATGTCATAGATGACTCTGGAAAAATAAACGGCCTGGAGGTGTGAAGGACCTTCCAGGTAGTCTAACCCGCAAGTTCCAGTCTATGTAACATGTAACGACCTTCAGCTTGTCAACCCCACACTACATGGAGTTTTTCACTACATTTGATGCTCCTTCTCTACGGCCTGGTCGCTCTTTAGGGGTCGCATCGTATCTTCGCGCGCGCGGGCACGTGGTCCCGACGCGCGCGCGAGTCCCCAGGGCCTTGAGCGGAGAAGGGGCGTCCCTCGGAGTGGGGGTGCCCGGAGGCGTCCCTTCGGATGGGGACGGTTGGTGAAGCCCAGAGAGGTATTCAGTGACCGTAAATAGGGCCTTACACTGAAGTACCCAACTGGGATAGTCGAACTAGGCTTCTTCAACCTCTGTCGGAGACGGTTTGGATCCCTCCGTCCGCGCAGACGGTCATCATGGACCCAATCGGGAGAGAAAGCAGCACTCTTTTGGAGTCGTGCAGATTGCGTGGAATGAATGATTCTCAGTGAGAGACTTGGTGAATCTTGGTTGGCTGAGAACGGCTCAAAGGCCGTGCAGGATTGACCTGGATGGACCTGGTCACTACCCCCAGCTGTGCAGCACAAAGGCGCGGACGCCAACCTTTAGAGGTCTGAACATCCAAAGATCTATTGGCCTAGACTCCTTGGTGACCTGTGAAACACATGAATGGTTGGTTGCTTCGGAAGATCCACAATTTTCTTTCAATTCACATTCAGCAAGGGGAAAAACAAACTGGAGGCAGGTGGTAAATGATAAATTGGAAAGGCTAGGAGCATGAGGACACCCTCCATTTTGGCAGGCTACTGTACTGAGGGATCGGATAGATCTTTCCATATCTTCCTTTGTTTGGGGTCCAAGTGTTCAACTCGGTGTTGATCTACCCTCCATAATCTGGGCTCAGGTGTCTGCAAGCATATCCGTAGCATATTCAACCTCCATGGTTGGAGTAAAAAAACACAACATAAAGCAAATCCCAGCCCCCAGAAAGAGAAGTCGCTGGCTGGTTGGAGTAAAACAAACACATCAAGCTGGGCGGTAGGTGGCCGCCGGATGTTTTTCTTCTGTTCGTTACCATCCGAGGTTCCGCCGGATGAGGTGGCACGGCTTCTGGAGGTGTGGCCGGAGGAAAAGGCGCGGGTCGGAGGAAACGGGCGGCCATGGGCGGTACACGACCGGAGCCTTAAGATTTAAGGGAATGGCATGGAACATTCAGAGGAAATGATCCCATGGTGTTTCCTGGGAATGTTTCACAGTCCGCCTTTTCTGCACTGCAGCTGGAGAATCGTGCTAAGACGATCTTCCCTGACCCAGAGAACATTTGAGCGACCCATCCAGTTTTAGCGAAGATCAGGACATGTGGGCAGGTGCGAATTCCCCATCCCAATTCCGTGGCCGACGGGTGCACAATCCATGTGTTTTTGGTTCAGGTGACAAAAAGTGCATCCATCCCCGGCATGCCAGGAATCCATGAGGAACCAACCAAGATTTGGGTTCTAGGTTTGTACAAAGCACAGAGCTAACAGAGCTATGTGTTTCTCATTATGATTACCTTTCAACACTTTAACTTTAGCATCATACACATTGTTTGAACAACGAAACAAGTATCAAGTGTGTTTCCTAGGGTCCTAGTACCTTGAACCCCCCCAAACCACGGTGTACATTTGTTCTTCACTACATTGGAAGACCAATGTTCCTCAAATGTTTGGTCAGACTAAATATCCTCACTGCTCCCACCGGGCGAAAACGGATGAACACGGTGGAAAACGCAGGTCCTAGCCCCGTTGGTGGCCTTTGCCTCCTCCGGCAGTGACCCTACGTGGGGTGGCTGAACCGGACTGTTCGGTGGAAAGGGACGTCGAATGGGGACGATCTTCATTGATGATGCTTTTGCGATCATGTCGTGTCGAACAGACTCTTCTCTTTGGGCGACCTTCATTCACGAAGGTCGCACAAAGCAACAAGCCTTTACCAGGGTGGGCGGGTGGGCGCCGCAGAACTGGCACTGCAAACGGCAACTCGCATCCACCACTCTGGACTCAGACAAGTGACAAAGGTGCTGGCCTCAATACCACAAGACAAGATGTAGTTGGCCTTTGCTGTTTCATCTTGTTTCTGTGTTTGGGCGCAATTTCCCTGCAAACCCATCGTTCCACAAGTTGTCAATTCCTTTTCTTGATGCACCGGCGCCGGCGCTGTTCCAGCCCGTTGAATACACTGAAATCTCCTTGGAGCAGGTTGCGATATTTAATAGAGACCCTGGGGTGTCCGCGTTACCTTCAAGAAACAGCACCATCCATCTCACTTTTTTTTCATTCTAGATTGCTTAAATTAAATGCCAATTCGTTCTCTGGAGATATGTACATGTTAGCCCTCTTCGCATGGGACCGTTTGGGTGCATCCATTGATCTCAATTCATTCATTTTGTGACACCATGTGCTTATCGTGTGGCTTATCCCCGTAGTTCCAGGGTTTTGTTTGTATGTCATTCCCTACAAGTCTAAACATGTCTAAACAAACAGTAAAACCTGGTTCTTTACCTCGATGCTTGAGTAAATATTAAATATATTATAGTGTTTTTGTACCAACTCAGACTCCAGTAAAATCATGTCTTTGCCCTCGCAGGGATTGTGTTGTGTTCGCCTCTGGAAAGCCCTGCTAATCGTGGAAGGGTCCCTGTGTCTTGGAGCGAAACCTCCGCACGTCCAAGACCGTCTCCACAGCTCTTTAGCTTTGTCAACAGTTCTGCTCAAGAGGCATCACCTGGCATTCCAATAATTACCCCCCAAAGACTTTGGATGGAACAGTATTGAATACTATATATAGATATCTATAGATTAATCTATACATTATATGAATGTGTTTTCTTATTGGAGGCCACAACGATCCTCTAGTAGACAAAGTATTCCACACACCGGTCACCACCCCCGGGGTGTCGATGTTCCGCCCCGGTCCACCGGGGCGTCCGGTCCGCAACGGGCGGGCGCCGACGGCGACGTCCGAGGCCCCTCAGAGATGTGGAGAAGCAGCTCTTGCCCCTCTTGGCCAGCTGGCACGAGCGATGACTGAGCGAGGTCGTGTCGGATCCTTTGTTTCATCTGTTTTAATAGCATGTTGATCGAGTTTTCGCAAAAACATCCAACATCCTATGACGTGCGGTGAAGCCAGATGTGTATATAAACATGTATATAAACTTGATGTTGGGGAGAATTGATGAAAGAAGCCTCCTCCGCTTGGGGTGGGTTGGCCTTTTTCAGACTGCCGGTGTGTTTTTCTGGACGATCTGAGCCGGGCAGCTGGCCTGGGCCATTACGATTTTTCTCGGGAGACGACCCCTTTCCGCCTGGACCAATCCAGAGATGATAAGACCCGAAGACGGTCTGCCTACCGCCCGCCGGTTCGCCGCGTCGCCGCGGTTTGAGCGGCTGAGAGGATGGAGATAGGGCCGGCCTGAGGAGCTGAATAGATTGAGAAGGTGTGGCCGAGACCGACCGGTTGATCATGGAAAATGAACAGAATAGAATCGACGACTAAGAAGATCAACCTACCAGGCTTAAGGGCTCGAGGTTCTTTTTTCCACTGCCATATCCACATTTGGGTTGCTCTTGGAAAGATCAGATCTAGTCACCAAGCATATCCCAGAATCACCTCACTTCGGCTCACTAAAAATACAAAAACATTGACACTAACTATTATCTCAGAATAGGTCTTGGCATCCTGGAAGAGTGTCTAGTCCAGGCAAAAGGTGTGCGGCTACGAACCATATACATTGCAATAGTTTCTGGGCCAAAGCCACGCGTTGCGAAATCTGCAGAAGAGGCAAGTACATTTTTTGACTGCTTCCTTTCCAGCACCCAAAGAAAGAAACGTGACCTTTGAAGAGAAGCGGACACTGAGATACAAAACCTCGCAAAACCTTGGTTTGAAGTCACTCCGGGGTACTTGCACCTGGACACTCCAAATACCATCAAATACCTCTATCTAACCTATTATGTCTTAGTGAAGGCGTTACTTGACCAATCCTGTTTTCCACTGTCAGCTACCCAGGAACTATTCCTGGAGAAGGCCGAACTAGTTCCCAAGGGTTTTGGGAATAGTTCCCAGTTACAACAGACAAACAGGCCCAAGCACACACTAAATTGTGTCTTATTCTTTCTTATTCCTCATTTTGCACTTCATCTTCCTTCCTTCTCCGGTCGAATACTGTGATCCCTCTCAGGCGATCCCCCGCGTTCGCCAGCGCTTGCGGCTCCTGGTACTGGCCGGCACGGCCGAGAAGCGTGTGGGAGAGGCGACTGGGGCGACCGCTGCACGCACCTGCAGGTCGACCTGCGACCGAGGACCACGTTGTTGGGATCAACATTCTTTTGATTGACCAGTTTTGCCATGGGTTTTCCCAGGCTGAAAGCGCAGAATTCCTGGTTTCTTCCATGGTCTAGCTCCTTCGTCGGCGCTCTCAGGGAATTGCACAGTTGCAGCTTCTCCGCAGGGCCTGCTACGAGATCCAGGACTGGAAAGCCAGACTGCCGGGCGTCGGTTTCACCGGTTGGACCGAACTACAGCTGTTGAAACCCTAGGCATAGTATCTTGTCAGGTGACTGGAGACACTGTTATGTACGTGCCAGGAGGGTCCAAGTACCTGCTGAGGTTCGGTACGACTGGATCCCTAGGGAAAGGAATTCTTTGGTTCCTTTTTGGTCACCTCATGGGCAAAAGAAGGGATGGAACTAACTTATATATAAGAATGATCTTCTGAGGTGGAGGGCGCAGGAGCCGTTTTGACCTATTTTGGGGTTACCAATAAGGCATAAGGCACAGTATTACAATTATTACACAGTATTGCCATTGACCTTGGATTTTGTGGCATTTCATCCTTTGACCACGGTGTCTTGCACCCATATCGACCCCAAATCCAATGCTGGCTGGCGTCGTGTGGTTTGGAAGTCTCTTTAAGGAGCAGCCAGGGCTTGCACGGTCAGTGATGGAAGAGTAATTGGCTGGATCATGTTGGATCTATTATACACACTCACACACACACAGCAGGCCAGGAATACTGAGGACTTCCAGTTTCTCTGCGAATTGTCGGATGGATCAGCAAGTCTCGCTCAGAACTCCTCCTTGCTCCGGGAGCTTTTGGCCATTATCGTGCTGCCCGGAAAGCCCAGAACCGGACGCGTGTCTTCTTTCCCAAACTGCTTGGAAGCCGTCAAGGAAGAGCAGCTTCGCCACGAGCTTCGGTGGTCAAGGGGGGTCGAAGTCAAGGGAGATACACTCTGACTCACTAACATGGAAGTGGAAAATGACCCCTTGGAAGACGACTTTCCTTTACAAACAGGAGGTTTTCCACTTCCATGTGAGTGAGTCGAACTCAGTCGGAGTGTATTCAATCTTCACACGCAGTTCATGACCTCTTTGGAGGGACGGACGGTGATTTGCTGCGATGGCATCCAAGTGTTCACCGTTCCCAGATCACCAACCTGACTAGGCACGTCTGACCACGCGATGAAACCGTTTGCTAAAGCTATTGTGCAATCTGCTTGCTGCGGTATGCCCAATTGGTCAAGTTGTAACAACCAGTTACTTCAGTTCTTTGTTTTTTTTTTTGGTTTTTTATTTTTTTTTTTTTCGACAGTTCACGTTTCAGGGTTTCTGGGGTTTTCGCATCTCACAAGACCAACCCGGAGAGCATTTCACAACGAGTGAACCACCTCAGAGTGCCCCTTTCATTCACCGGATCTCTACAACCCCTCGAGCATCATTCAGAGTACCCCTTAGAGGAACCCAGTCAGCCACTCGTAGTAAGGAACTGGAAATACTATAGGTCTATGGTTCAAGTCAGAACCACTAGGCATACCTGGAAAGAAGAAGAGCCACGGGGACCTGGGGCAGGAATTGCATTTGTTCCTGTCCCAGCGGTCGAAGGGTAGATTGGTCATCAAGGGTAGATTGGTTATACTAACGTGTACATATACATGATACAGAAATATATATTACACTTTATTACATTCTATTTGACAAGTGCAATACGAATCCTCTCGTGATGCGAACGAGGCTCTTCAACTATGTGAACTTCGGAGCCGCCCCACCGTCAGCGAGACAGGCCGAACTTCCGTCGAAACATGCGCCTTCCCATGAGGGTGGAAGATCTCGTGGGTTAACAGAATGAAGTCAAGTCTTGTCAACTGTTGTTCACCTGGGATTGAACATTGTTCTTGAAGATTGTGAATGTAGAAAGATTTGCCTGAGGCTTGACTTAATTGTGATTCTGGTTTCATCCTATTGTAACGGTAGTCAAGACTGGTTGATGTTCAAGTCATCCTGCATTTCCCAGGAATCAGACAAGTTGGCCTCGAGTAGCGAGTGGATACATCTCGCCATTCCAGGTGGTGAAGAGTCACAGTTTGTGACCCTCACAGTTAGTTCCTTTGTCAATTGGTCCTGGCAACAGGTCCACTCACAATCACAAACCGAGAGTCTTGGATCAGCAAATTGGGCAAATGGTTCAGTTTCAACACTATAGAGCAAGCCTTTGATGTTCCACCTCTCCATCCTTCACGAGGCTTCTCCGGGTTCTCCCTGGGTTCATCCATCTCTCGGTGGAGGCCACCTCCGGTGCCTTGAAGGGCGTGGATGTGCCCAGCGCCACCGGCCACTCTTGTGCGGAGCGCCCCATGACGAGTTCAGGACTAGCCTTTTTTGGGGCTCCTGGCCCACATCCTCGGTTGGGGTGGTTGGGGTGGGTGCCAGGGGGGTCCAACTGCCTTCTCAGGATTGGAGCTGTAGGGGCCCTAGGGCTCAATGTTGTCCCACTCCAAAGATTGGACAAACAAAGACTTATCCCAGGTCCCAGACCATCCATGTATGGAATAGTCTTCAAGCTCCCGATGTAGGTAGGTAACTATTCCATACGTGGATGGTTTGGGTATCTCCTTTTGGCCACCAGCAGGCACTGGGAAATAGAAGTACCAGGCACTCCTGGATCCGATGAACACAATGGATATGTCCCAGACATTCCGTGGGGCTGGCATATTTACCTACATTGGGGTGTTTGAAAAGGGGTCAACGGGCCAATGCAGGTATATATGTTCCGTACATGGAGAGCGTGGGGGTTGTTACTTCTTGGTGTTTTGGGTCGCACCTCTCGCCATGGTGGCATTCCTTAGTCTGGCAAGGGACGGCTGCGCTCGGAGAAAGAGTGTCAACACCTAGCCTCAGGGAGGGTCACCACAGAGGCGGAAACGAACCATAAATAAATTTGCTGATTGATTTGTTTGATATTTGATTCATATTTCTGGAACATTGACGGGACCCTAGTGGCCCCATGCAGTTCTGGCGACCAATACCAAAGGCAGTCCTGAAAGAAGATGTTTTCCTGAAAGAATATTTGTTGGGGATCCACTGGGATAGAGACTGCAGTGAAGGGCCCACTGTCTTTTTCGTGGCATACTTGGTTTGATAGCTGCGAGTGTGTGCGGGTAGGTTGACATGCCTGATTGTTCTTTTGGTTCATGTTCTTTGGTCCGAGGTCTGGCAAATCCATGATCCATCATCCCTGCAAATAGAGTAAGCTGTCATGATTTGTCGCCAGGTTTGCTTCGTTTGCGTGAGACCAAAGCGTGTCAAGCTCAGGATGTACTATCGGTCTGTGCAAATCTGAGGATTTGAGTGCGTTCTCCTTGCAAGAATAGTATCTAAAGGTAGGTGAGTCATATTTATCACGTGGTCATTTCAGTTTGAATTTCCTGACTAGCATGCTCACAATAACGCGGTACCAGCACCAACAGCCACCTATAGAACCTGAGTTGACTGAAATTTGGCATGCGGCTCGTCACGACCAGGAAAGCCTTGTTAGAAGGAGATGCTAACGTTCCGGATGCTCCAAAATGACAAAGGACAAGCTAGAGCTTACAGTCCAGCTTCTTCAAAGTGACCTTCGTGGAGTCCCATCCTCATGACCTTCTATAGGCCCAAGCGAACTGCCAAAACACAAGGATACCCAGTTCAGTCCCCTTGAAGAAGCAGCTGTGGTCACCACGTTGGACCGTGTTTGCTGCCTCCAGGCCTACTCGACCTTTCCACGACCCTCACCGGATGCTCACGACGCTTCGACGGCGCCAAGGTTCAAAGGCGATTTCCCGGGCTTTCACATGTTGCCGGGGACCTCGGAAAACGACTGGGACCCTGTTTTCGACTCAACGGCGAGGCCTTTTATCATCGCGATGAGGAAAACGGGCTTTATGGTGATGGTGGCCATTTTGGGCAGACTTTGGGACCACATTGGAAAGACACCAGTTCACTGAAAAAGCGAAGAAAGCCGAAAGGGCAGGGATCCCAGAAATATGGAGATTGTTTCACATGGCTAGGAGTCACGTCCAGCGTGTTCGGATCGATTGTTTAACTTAGATGCCTTCACAGATCTTCACAGGGATCTAAGGAGCCAGTGGCGTTTCAAAGATTCTGCAGGAAACTGAGTGATGGTTCTTGCAGACGAGGTTGTAGCTGAAGGCTTTGGTTTTGATGGTTCTGGTTTGGGAAATTGGAGGGAAGCATCAAGAGCGAGCTGTTGTAGGGGTCCAGATGGCGTTAGATTCGCTTGCATTGACACCAGCAAGTCTTGGTTGTGGCTGTTAAGGAGTCAGTGTTTTAGAATGTTTTAGACTTTGGTCAGTAGGGCGTCGGGTGGACATGGTCGAGAGCAGTCCAGGCACTTTGTGGTGAAGCAGCTCTTAAAGCAAAGAGACTCCTGGAAGAAAGAGACCTTGGACCAGGAGAGAGATTCGACAAGTGGAAGTCAATGACGAAGTCTTGTCCGCCGCATTGCAATGTCCGGGAGAGCTCTGGGACAAGTTCTCACGTGATGTTTATCGAGAGGTGGGTGGATAAGTGCAACTGGAACTCAATTCAATATTATCATATTGATTCTTTACGCCAACCAACCAACCAACCAACCAACCATCGCTTCAAATCAAACCCTGTGAATCCATGGCAGTCGGGTGATTCCGGGATTCGCACCGCGAAAGCGTCGCCCGAAAGCGTCGCCCCATCCATGGGACCGGACTTGGTGCGACCAGCGAGGTCCTATTTCTCGCTCAGCGGTCCCATCCCAGCCATCCGAGCACCCAGTTTCGTGAGCCGGATCCAATACGGTTGCGTCCGTGTCTCAAGTACTCAGAGGTCTGAGAAAGGTCTTGGAGGCCCGAGAGTTCCTGAGAAGACGTCGTTTAGACGGTGCTCAAACCAACAGGATGATCCGATTCGGAGGCCATCGCGGATCCAATTAAACGAGGTCAATGTTCGAACGCGTTTTTGGCAGATAGTCTTTGGTCAGACCGTGAAGTACTTTGAACATCTTTGAACACTCTTCTCCCCTCCCCGCCATTTTTTCCCCAAGGGTCAGGGGTCCTGCCCCGGCGGTGGAGAAACAAACAAACAAACAAGAAACGTGAAGTGCTGGAAAACATTCGTTGTTCGAGTGGTTATTTTCTACTTTACGAATCTTTATACCTATATAACATATAACGTACATCCTATAACATTGAATTGAATTCTTCGACCTCTAGCTTGATACACAAGTTGTTCAACTTCCCTCACAGCGAACTTCAGAAGGCTTGCCGATAGGTGTTTCTTTTTTCTCCCCACACACCAAGTGACTACTGGCGAGCCATGTTGAAAATCAACATGGCAAAACGAGTCTGTGAGCTAGTGTGCAACTTTCAGAAGCTTTTAAAGACAACTTTGGGGGTCCTTTAATTAGCAACACATACACAGTAGTAGTAGGCAAGCTCCACTACCACTTCTTGGCAGGAGTTGCCTTCGCTGCGACGGGCCAGCAGAGTCCACTTGGAACGTGTGCAGTCCGAGCTCCAGGCACCGGGGTTTCGCGTGTAGCCGCGCCGCGTGGCGCGTGGCTCCGGGTGGGTCGGCTTAGCGGGTTGAAGCCGTAGAGACCGTGGGAACACGGATTCTGTATGATCTAGGATAAATAAGATGAGGAAGATCAAGACCTGGCTAGGATCTGTGTCCAAAGATTCCTCCGAACGTGTGCTTGAGTCCAAAGTTGCGTCTCAGTTTGTGGCAGTGTTTGAATGTGTTTGAATCCTTGGCTATCTTTGCTAACCCCAAATTGTTTGCCAATCCTTGGTTCATGTTGGACGTCGTGGACCCTGGCTGCTGAACTTTAGTTTGAGAGTCTTGGTAATCTCTTGATTTTGATCTGTACCATGGCCGCCCATGCTATGTTATTTTGAGGGTCCCAGTGTGCCTGCCATCATGGCTCTATTCAACACTTGACAAACGATCTCTCCACATCATGGGACTCCATCCTTCTCCAGTTTGCCCCACCGCGAACGGCGCCAGGAGCTGCGAGGTGAATATGTCTTCGTTCAGACGGAGTTGCAGGACCATCGGGAAGACTATCACGCGGACGGGCCACTGGGACTAACGAGAACCGGAGCCGTGGAGACACCGGGCCGACCTCGGACCTGCAAGGAAGACGAAGACCGAAGACCAACCCAGTGGGCACTCATCTTATGCCGATCAGTTGGGGTGGTTTGAGGGGTCGTAGGCATATATGACATACATGGAGTGTTTGGGATATGCTATGATAAAGATGATGGCGATAATCAGAAGGCCACTAGCCTTCATCTGGGGTGAAAGGGCGCAAATGTGTCTGAGTTTCGCGAAGACCTCGAGAGGTCCAACTATGCATTATTGCCTTGATGTTCTTCCAGAGGAATGCGGATCTCAAAAATACTCAAAAACCAATCTCAACCACCTACATTGTTGTTCAATGTGTGTTTGTTTGTTGTTTTAACCTTGCAGGATAACCACCTTCATTCGTCAAATTGTCGTTCCTTCCCTTGGAAGAACGAACGCTCCGTTTTGCCGACCGCCGCTCTTTTCAGAATAAGCTTCGTAAGTACAAACCCAGTCGTCGCAATTAGGATATATTCCGTTGCCTGCCTGTTGTTGGCTTGCACCCAATTAAACATGCCTTATTCGCTCCTTTCGGTCTCACAGTAGAGTGCACTCTCTCTTCATGTTCACATTCATCCATCTCTATCTACTACCCGGTGAAAACAAGGGCATTGATAGATCGACAAGACGTCGTACAGTGCGCATGTAGAGGAAAATGGTCTTCCAGGTTCCACTTCCATGATAGTTTCAGGGAGTGTAAGTAGGTTTCAGTCGAGAGTGGCCGATGAGCTTGGATCCGAACTTGAGGAAACCAATCGGAGTCACTGGGGGGGGGAAGTTGCGGAGTCACGTAATTCACAGGGCCATTCTGGCCCAAGCGGGTCGGCTAGACATAGCACTTTGATCCTCATGCACTCCACATATTGCAGATAGATCTAGATATATGGATTGTATAAGGTGTATAAGCCTAGAAGTCTAGAAGAAAGATGTCAGGATGTTGATACTATAGGTGTTGGCAGGCAAACGTCGCTGCCAACTGCGAGCGTATCCGGATTAATCCAACCCCCATGTCCTCTTCATGTTTTTTTTTTTGTTTTGCATACCTGTTCTCAGACATATGCTACACAGCCATAACTACTTTGTTTCGATGAAGCCCTTGTTATAACCCCTATGCAGATGTTTAATCCCATGCAATCTATGATCTTCACTTGAAGCCTTCCACACATAGAATAGAATTGGGTTTTCGTGGTAGTTTCTGGATCTTGACCACTTGCGAGTGCCACGCAAATGAGTATTTTTTCTACATCCAATGATGTTTCATCTATCCAGTCATCGATCTTGGTCGCCACACACTCGGACGCTTCCAGTATAAGGTCCGAGTCTGATGACGAGGCCGTGTGGGGCCTTTTGATCCTGAAAAGGAAGACGACTTTCCTTCAGCAAAGGGGGTGAACTCCACTTCCATGTTGGTGAGTAGGAACGTCTTGGCATGATTCCCCGGTGGGGTGCTGCCTTCTACCATGCTTGGGGGTTCAAACACATGTCAAGCCAAAACCCTATATTGAGCATATAAGCATAGTAATAGTTATTAACATGTTTTTGCACATATGGGGAACGACGCCGCCAGGCAGAGTCGGATGTTAGGTGCTCAAGTCAGCGATTGCAACATGTGAACAGTTCAGGTCGGTGACCCCAATTTTAAGCATGGGTGAACTGAACATACACAGCTATGAATATCAATACATGGAAGGTACACTACTTATAACATATAAACTATACATAAGCCCAATGATTAAAAAGACACAAACACAAAAACACTTACACACCCCAGAAATGCGGACTGAATTGAAATAGCACGAGAACTGGTAGCCTGGGGGTTTCAGTGTTGCTGAGTCACTGATTCTTACGAAATGCTTCTGAGGGTTCGTGATCTGAAGTTCTGATCACTCAGGCTTCTTAAGAGTCAGTATTTATCTCTTTTACTGTGTTGAGACCCGAATGGCTCTTAGTGAGCATCGCCGACTCTCACTTGCATTCAATGCTGACGTGAGTAGGGACTACTAATGCTGGATTAGCTGATTAGCCATAGCAAGTCTTGGCAGGTCATAATAGGCCATAGTGAGCATAGCTCTCAAAAAGTCCCCACATTTCCTCCCGGACCATAATATGGCCCTGCGTAGACCCCGCAAAAGTTCCCTCAAAAAGAGTTGCAAGAGAGTCGCCTGGGAAATCACTGTAGGAAGAGTCTATTTTCTATTCAACTTCTCGAAGACCTTCTGTTTGATTGAAGCAAACCCCGTGCCCATAAGGGGCTCGGAGCAGCCAGAAGACTTTCACAATCCAGCCCTTACAGTGCAAGCGAGGGCTATTTGCAAGAAGACCTTGCTGCCAGTTCATGCGAGTTCAGGCAGAGGAGCCCCTGGAAGAGCCCGCCAACTGGGGCTTCTTAGAGAAGCTCTTAGCCAGGCGAAACTCAGCCGGACGAAAGAACACCGGGAAAGATGTGTGTCGATAGGTGTGTATTCCCTAGGGCTCCTGGCCCATCTCCTCAGGTTCGGTGGTTAGACCCCCCTGGCACCCACCCCTGGCCCATCTTCTCAGGAGGTGGGCCAGGAGCCCTGGGGATTGGACCAGGGGAGACTCCGGGCCACGGCCATCTTCGGATCTCCGATGGCGCAAGACTGGATGGTCAGATGAGTCATAACCCATTGATGTGCCTATTGTCCATTGTCGCAGTGGGTTAGAAGGGGATGGTCCAATGGTCATCCACTTTTGATTGGGACTTTTATGTGAGATTGAGGCTGCCACACATTGGCCTACCCTCTCCTGGCCAGCCGCGTTTTGGCTGTGTGAGAAAGACAATACAACCTCGACTGACCATGCCCACTGCCGCCTCTGTCTTTGAGTACTTTCACTGTTCGTGATGACATGCAACCCCTACTGCCTACTGGATCCTTGGTATGGGAAACGGGCTACGGCTTCTGGGCTTGTGATGTCCTCTCCTGGAAATCTAGCTTTCTTTTGGTCTTTCGAACAGCATTTGGTGAAACGGTTAATGTATACCTACATTGACCCCAAATATATACTGGTAAATATGACAGTCTCATGGAGTGTCTGGGTAGCTATCTCTCAGCCTCTTCCGGGCTGGGCCGGGATAGAGGATTCAGCCTCGCTGGACCAACGGTGCCGACAGGCCTCATCACCCCCAAACAGTCAACGGCACAGGAAGCTGGAAGGGTGCCAAGGTTTGTTTGTTCAGGAGAAACAACCACCCTGAAAGGATTCGGAAGTCTGTCACTTGTATCATGAGGTCCCCAAGTGACCTCAATTCATCGAAAAGATCACTTTGAAGAACCCAGTATATTTTATGTAGATAGGTGGAGTTCATGACAACCCAGACACTCCATGTATGCCATATATGCCAATATATGCCGTCCCAGACAGACCCCCCAGTCACACACCACCCCTGGCCTTTTCTCGGCAGTGCGGGCAGTTCCAGGCACGTCGTGTCGAGTGTTCACCTCCAACCTGGTCGCTGCAGGGGATTGGACTTCGCCAACCTCGCCGAAGCTTGGCTCCGAGGGGACGAGGCACCGAACGCCTTGCGTCGCGTTGTACTCGCATACTCCACGGGTCGTCGTTTGGGATGCTTCGTCAACGGCCAGACGTGGACGTTGGTGAGTTTCGACCTGGATGAGTTGGATGTGTATTGGAATACAGGGGCCCGGACCCCAAAGTTTTCTTTTTTCAGAATGATTTCTGTCCTTCTAACACGGTGTCTTTGGTTGTGTACTACTTTGTAGAATCATTTGGCATCGAGAGGCCATGGCCTAAATGAGCTTTAAGAGTTTTGCTCAACAGAATTTGCTGAGATTTGCTGTGTTCGGGGATGGCCGTCCAAATGATCAATCTGTTAAAAGCCACGCCCTGATGAATGTGCTTGATATTGGGCTTGAATAATTGTAGAGAATCCTCTTCCAGTGATCCCAATCTACCTTGGTTTTGCAAGTGTTTGTCCCTGTCAAGCTACTATGTGACTTAGTGACTTTCGGAGATTCAGAGTTCCATACCAATTCCAATATAAATTACCAACACTCATCCCAACCTCTCCCGTCTCCGGAAACCAAACCAAAACCACCGGACCGCTCCACACACACCAACTGAAACGACGAAGACAGACGCCCTTTCGCCCGCCCACGGAATACCGGTCGGTCGGCCAGGTCTTAGGTCGACCATACCATCCCTCCGTGGGCGGCTTCCGAGCCTTCGAGCCCCTGCAGGGCGAGGCGGACGAGACCTCCGGTTCGGTGAAGAGGGGCGGTCTCGTTGTTGAAGAGGTGAGGTGAGGTCTCCCACCTTTGAAGCTAAACTGGTGAAAAGGATCTTGAAATCCACGGGTTTGTTCAGCAAGACACGCGAACAAAAAGAACTCATTCACTAGCGGCTTCCAGGGGGGAAACTGCAAGGGGGCACTTGTTAGCAGATTGACTGGCCATAGACAGGTACAGACAGATGCAATGTAAAAGTCTTGTGGAATTCACATTTGTACCCAGCTTAAAGAGATGAACAGTATCTTCTACGCCAAAGGAAAAGGACAAGGACAGCTCATCCATAACAAGGTGGTGTGTGTGTGTGTGTTCGAGCGACATGCGCACTTCTGTGGATTTCTGGATGGCTGAAGAGATAGGTTCACATGATACCTGAGGGATACCACGCAATTGCTGGACAGCAGCCCCCCCTCCAGCCCCTCCAGCACCTACTGGTAATGGCCATGGTATACCTTACCTAATTATGTCAAGGCATGTTTCCTTCCCAGTCTTACCCGACTATATAAACCAAAGGACACCCAGTTCACCATCGAGACATGACAAGTTCTCATTGCAACACAAAGGGGTCACTAGGATTTGGCGGCTCAACCGATACTCCATCAAAAAATGCAACAAACCATGTGCTGTCCAAAACATTCTAGAATCATGAAGCCAGCTGGTTTTCCTTTGTTTTTAGGGCAAAACACCTCGCCAGGAGGGCTCCGCGCCTCCGAGCTGGTCGGGAGCGAAAAAGTCACGGTGAGGGAGATGCGAAGAAATCCACCAGTGCCTCATTTGCCCAGTCAACCCAAAAAAGAAGGTTGAGTATGGTGAAAGCGAATGATTAGTATATTGTCAGGTTCCACTTGACTTTGGATGATGTTGATGATACGCTGATTAGGATTGGCACGAACTTGAAAGGTCCCTTTGAAGAAGCTGCTTTGTGATTGATCCGAGATGATCCGAGCGTCAGACCTATTCGAACAGTGATGTCCAAAAACTCAGAGGGTGAGCTAGACTGCTAGACAGCCAAGCTAGACTGGGGCCATGTGGGCCCCACGCATCGGTGGAGAATAGCCACAAAGCTGCGAATTGGATGGGAAGATGCTCAGTGCCAGGTGGTTGAAGAGGCTGAGAATTCAAACCTTGTCACCTTGAACACGTTGGGAGGTTCCGAAAGTTCCCAGGGAGATGCGACTTCCTCAATGACTCAAGATTGGTGGAATTGGCCCCCCCACGGGTGGTTCAAGGAGTGCTCGTACCCAAAGGTGCTCGTACTCAACGTGTGGAACCGGTTCACTCGCTTCAGTGTGTGGAGCTCGGGTTGGCAATGCCGACCGGGCGAAGCTCCATGCCTGTTTCGCGCTTGAGAGACCTTTGCGACATGAAGTGTCTAATTATAGCTCCTTAGAGGTATCCAGGGGTATCCATTAAGCACCCCTGACAGGGGGCTCTGGTATAGATCGATCATTAAACTGGACCTGTGGACTGGCCACCCGGCGCAGTCTGCCCGAAAAAGATTGGTGGCAACGCTATACTGGCAGCAACGGTAACGCTGGACTGGGGAGAGCGGGTTTATTTTGCAACCACAAGCAACAGATCTCATGATGCTGTAAGTCAATTTCCGGGATCGGGATGTTGGGTTTGGGTCTCACCAAGAATATTCGGGCTAGCTGACCAGGGACTGTGAGTACGTGTTTTTTTCATAGAACATAGAAACCTGCAATTGTTTTTTGCAGGAAACCTGCCCCTGTTTCAAAACCATTGTCAGCAGATGGTCCAAAAGAACGCCACGTGAACTGAACTCTTGAGGTCAGACGGAATCCACGCAGAATCGGGCAGAATCCTTGGGCATTCCGGAGGCTTTGTGTCGAACACCATCGACACGGCACATGTGGTTCCCCTCGGTGCCGTGCGGTGCCGTTCCTTCGCCGTCGTCGTTGACCGCACGGCACGGCACAGGTTGTGGCTCCAACGTCCCTCCGGGCGGTGGCAGCGCTGCTGGTCCGAGGCACCGAGAAATCGTTGAAAGCACCGGGTGAGGAGGTGAGGAGAGAACGGGGCTGGCGGATTGCTTTGGGAGGACCCGGACAGATCTGGGACACCCGTGGACTGGAGCGAATTGGCCGAGTATGCACTGAACTTCCGGATCTCTGAACTGAGATTTCCTGATCATCTCTTTGTTCATCACTTGTTTCACCTTCAAGCACGGCCCGAACAGTTCGCTGTACAGGACCGGACTGTGTGCGAGACCGGTCTCAGGTGCGTGGACCCATTCTGGTCTTGTACAAAGTCGAGCTCCATCAATGCTGCCGCCTGAGACGAGTTGACGGGCTCAAGCCCGAGGTTTATGTGGGAGGTGCGGGAGGTACGAACCCCCGACTGGATGGCAAGCTCTTGATGGAAACTGCGAAAGGTTGCCCAATGACTTGTGACTTCGAGGGAGAGGGGGGCGGGTATGGTTTTTGGGATCAGCTTTTGCATCACCCATCACCCAGATTGTGTGAGAGAAGATGAGAGAAGAGACCAGCACAAATCCAAAATCAGGTGAGAGTTGCGACAAAATGTCTGCAGGGGTGCAGAAGTTGCCATTTCAATTTTGCAATGTTGCGAAGCAAACACTCCGTTGCCAGACTTTCAGTGAGTCAAACGATGAGGTAGACAGAGATATGAGATATGATTTTGCTCTATACCAGGGGCCACTCCAAACCAAGAAGATCAGAGGTGTTTTAATTACTCAGAAAGAGCCAATGCGCTTTTTTATAATGTGTTTTTGATCTATTATGATCTATTCCACGTGCTCAGACGGAACAGGATAGCTTGGGTGCTAAGGTGTTGGCGCCACTTATGTGGCCTTGCCAGGGGCACTGCTGGGCGACAGTGTCAACAAGGTCAGTGGTCACAGCTGGCTGAACATCTCAACAAAGAGGGAGAACATTGTCAGTTGTTGTACGTCATACCAGTGTTGCATGGATTGGTTTGGTTATGTTGGCCGGTTTAATTATCCTGTTTTTGTCTTAGAGGTGTTTTGTGTACATTTGTGTACTGGTCGTACAGTACTACTGATGAAGTCCACATGTTCCAAGAGCTGCGACAAATAGCTGGGAAGGACAGCTGGTGAACGACCAGTTGCTGTGCGATGGTATATTTGAATATATGTGATTTTACTATGGAATCAGATGGAATCAGCAAAGGGTTGACAAGAAGAGCCTAAATCAATCCTCACCATTTTAGCATGCTGAATCTAACATGCTTCGCAGTTGGGGGCATGACGAACATGGACCACTTTGGCTCAGTTTGGGTGAAACAAAGCATACAACAAAGGACACCCTTAAATTTACTCAGACCTGGGGAGAACCTCTCCCACTGAACAGGTCCAATACTAAGGTCATTTCAGATTGTTAACGTTGTATTCAAGCTTGACCAGATTGGATAATTGTAGGTCACCATTTTCCATGGACTTGAAAGCTTCACCCACAGACACCCCAGTATCGAAATCGTGGGTTTCGTGGTGTTGAAAGAAAACCTTCTGCAGCATCGTTGAAACACCAACTGGCGGCCCTTGACCTGGCTCTTAAGGGCCTAGCACGTTCCTTTCATCCGCAGTAATTGACTTTCCACCTTAAGACTGAAGTGGCATCGTGGGTAATATATGTGGGTATAACATGGTATAAGTCATGGTATATACATAGTGCCCCAGCCACTGGTTTTCTCCTGGCCAACTCACTGGCTGCCTCTCTTTGGAAATCACGGGTCGCGGTGGCCGCTGGCGCGGCGCAGGATGAGGTCCTGGCCCAGCGAGAGGAGGAACTGTTGGTCCCAAGACCAGGGGGTTCAAAGCAGTTCGGCCATCGGTTGAAGAACCCGACTGCTCGACTAGGTCGACAGGGTGCCCGACGGGTTCTTCAGGTCAAACCCTATTGGTTCAGGCTCTCCTACTAATGATATACACCCATTGGTAGGATTTTGTGGGGAGAAACATTGCTGTACTTGCAGATGGCAAACTTCTTCATTGCGAGACTCGCTCGACAGCGCAGGATGGCGAGGCTGGTGAGGCACCAGTGGCGGTGATTTGGGATTCGATCTGCATGGGGAACCCTCAAAGACCTGGTTTTTCTATCCCAAACACTCCATGGAACCCTTTTCAACCACCGCGATGTAGGTAAACATGCCGCACGGGCCATTGCCATACATTCTTGGAGTATTTGGGGCAGCTAGATGCTTTCATTCTCTTCTGCCTCAGGATGACCTCGTGACTGATGGGCAAGAAAAACATAGAAACACATATTAACCATTATATAATACAAATCCAGGTGTTATTCAAGGTCAGTTTGTTTTGGTTTTAAGATGTTTCAAGTGTATGGTATATAGGTTACACAACCGGTACATTGATATTCCCTTGCAATTATTTAATTGGCGTATGGTTTCCTACACCCCCACTGTATTTGGATACTAGTAGGGAACTATATATATATATAGAAACATATCATGCCCAGGTTACATTGGCCTACCATTAAACTCAGACTGGAGGGTGACCCCATCAATTCAGAAGTCAAGTTCAAGGATTCGAGGATCAGTTCTCCCCCCACTTTGGGTCGCCTCTATACTCTTCACACCATCTACATTTTGCTCGCTGGGCGCCAGGATGCCGCGCTGGGGAGCCGAGGTAGATGTTGAACTACCGTCTTATTCACTGACGTAGGGCAACCTGGGTCTGGGACACTGGGAAGACAGGATTTGTTCTGGAGAAATCAATTGGTGTTCGATGGTTTTCCGCGAGTCGCCTGTAATAGGGGCTTGTAGTTTATACAAAGAGACTTCCCCAACCCATGAGTAAACACTTGAGTTGTTCGTGTACAAAAAGAACAGGTTTGTGCGAACACAAAGTTTTGTATGGTGAACAGAGAGGCCACCTCCCAGGCAACGACCCGTGGAAGAAGGAAGAATTGATCAGTCTACCTGGCTGGGAGCCTCTCTTGCAAAATACGCAATGGTCAATCGCACCCTTTGGACATCTGTAATTAGGTCCTTCCAAAAGGCACCATTTCATGGATCGATACTATTCAAGGAACATTCGAGGTATATAAATGGACAAGATTGTTCCATGAAACCATTGGAAGAAAACACTGTTGCATACACCTCCTGGTCTTGCCGCAGCTGCCTGAACTTTTGACATGTCAGACTGTCACTGTTTGGAGTCGCTATCTCCTGTGAAGGTACTATATTGTTGGTCAAGTGTTTCCTTATAAGCAGGACTTGACTCGACCCAAGAATTCACGAAATCAGGTCATGAGTCCATCGTTGAGTTACCCTCAAAACTTGTGCTCGTTCCATACCTCCACCCGCATTTATCTTGAGGATACGAGGCCTAGGCAGGGCATGGGCCGCATGAGCCGAACTTCCAGCTCCAATGGAACGTGTTTGGCATGTGGAGTTTACCTCACAGCAAGTCCAATGTTCCAAAGGAGGTGAACCAGAGGCTGGAAATGGAGAACAAAAGAGGAATGCTGCAGGGAAATTTGAGATTAGATTCTTCCTGGCTTCGAGCGAAGCGCCTCTACCGAGATGCCGCATGCCTTATACCCGAAGCACTTGGTAAATTAAACATCCTCAGTAAGTTGTTCATGCTGTTTCTACCTTGTGGTACATAGTTTTATGGGATACCCCTTGGCTTGTTTGGACTAAAGGGACGGTCCTTCACCTCCTCAAGGCCCTTGTTTTGCTGATTTGCTCAGAGAACCCCTTCGTCCATTTCAATCCCCAAGCTGTCGTGACCTTGATAAAGTCATGAACAACTGGTGGAACATCTGAGACGGGTTGGGGCTTCCGAGCGGAGCCTACCGTTCGAAGATTTCTGTGGCTAAGGCCGGCTTCGGCCAGCACCAGTTTCGAGTTGATCACCACCGGAGAAAGCTGGTGGAACCCAGTGGGTGCTGGGTGTTGGGACGAGGCTCAAAAGCCTTGGCTAAACAGATTCAACATATCACCCCCTGGCAGAACCCTCGGCAAATCCACTTGATGGATTCGCTGATGGTTCTGCCAGGGTGATTCGTTGTTTCACTGTTTGAACCAGGTTGGCAAGTCATGCACAGATCTTTGGTGCAGAATGCTTTGAGCACTCCAATTACTCGTTTGGTGCCGGGGAAGGCTAGCACACTTGGAACTTGTCAGGTTCAACACGAACCCATGACTTTGGACCCTGGCAACTGCCCTTTTCAGACGCCTTATAAGGCTTTGGTGAAGCAACAGCATGATCCGTTGCAAGGTTCAGCCATGTGTGGTCCCAGGGGTCATACTGAGTCATACCTATCACTGGTGTTCTCGTTCTCAAGATGCCACCGACCAATGTCTCACGAGTCGACCAATGTGCAAGGCTGCCTTGTTGAGGCATTGCTATTGGATGATTAGAGTTTGGATGTCTTTGTACATCAAAAACACCTCCCTTTGTTTTCCCTTTTTGGAGCTACATCCCTCTTTGAGGTGGTGCGCTTTTTCGCATGGGACTTGTAGAAGGATTGCCTTTTGTCTCACATTCCATTCGGTATCTTGGACTGTCAGAAGTGGGAACTTGGAAGACCATGCATCCTGGAACAGATCAAGTACTAGTTTTGAAGGAACATCTACTGATACAGTATTTCCAAGGCGGCAATTGGTTTGTACGGGTCTTGGGCACAAGGAAGTGCTAGTTTGAAAGCGAGGAGTCATGAAATGCAAGAGGTGACGTGCGGAGAAAAAGGCGGCCTCATTTGGACAAGCTCAGATGTCACCAAGTTGTTTGGGCCTGACCCAACCAACCTTTCCGGGCTACACGGACAAAAACCAAAGAGGGAGGTCCGATCAGCCCCACCCTGTGACGAATCGGATCGGGGCCGAGCAGGTGGAGAGTAAGTGGCGGGGGCGGACTTGGGCGGACGCATCATGATACTGAAGATGCCTCAATTGGCCTGAGGGAACTCAACTCAGTGCCAGCTGCCATTGCTTTGCTATGGGCTTTGTCCAGGCACCAGGTCAAATGTTCCGACTTGAGTGACTTCCCAGCATGGAATCCACGGAGTGGTCGAGGATCCGCACCTTTTTTCACTCCAACCAACCACAGTCTTTCTGTCGCCATTCCTGCCAAGGGCTCCCTCCCCTGCAAAGCATTGCAAGGAAAGGAAGTTTGAAGTTTCCAAAGCATCCGTAGGAACCAAATCATTAAGCCTGAGCCCTTTTGCGTCCTGCCAGCGACCCTCAGCGTTGTAGCTTCTCCCTACATCCCTCCAACCGATTCATCGGGGGCCTCCGCCCCACGTGTCGCGCCTGTCGCGCTGCGGATGAGGCTCCGGGCGTCTCCTGCGGCTGAGGGCCTCCTCCAAGAAGCAAGCGGCGCCGGACGAGCCCAGAAGGGAGACGGCCGTGGTGTTGTGGAGGCATTGAGCCATGGAAGCGTGGAGGTCAGACATGGTCAAGGCTTAGCTAGAAAGCATCAAAAGAGAGAGGGGTCCCACAGCTACATAGACTACATGGATTAACGCACATGTGATATATAATGTGTACGAGACCAAACCCTGAAACCATGGGATTTGTTGGACATGTGACATGCTTGGTAAAGAGTCCACGACGATTCCCTAGTGGGGATTTGTGTAGCAGCGTAGGAGGTGTCTGGTTTAATCCCTCCATACAAGGACTGACAACCAACCAGGCCTATTGTTCTAACATGTGCATGTTTTGTGTCGAAACCAGGAGGCAAAACACATATATTCGCGCGAGTTCACGCCTCCAGATGATGTGTAAAATAACGTCAAATGCTGAAGGTTTCTGATCGGAAAACAAAAACATGTCAGAGGTTGTCGGGCGTCAAATCATTGAACTTCTGAACTCCATGTGAGCCTGGTGCTGGTAGAGTGGTCTCATGACCTTGGACCTTCAGAAGTTGACCTTCAAGACATTGGATGTTGCAGGGTACCACTAGGACCATATCCCCGACCTCTCCGACCAAGTCTGGGAGTTTCTGGGCTATGGCGACCCTTATCCCATCTTATCCCAAAACTGGGGTTCATGAGTGGGTTCATGTTGCTGGCTAAGCCATTGTATTGTTCTGTTTTAATGGTTGTCAAAATGTATCTGTATCACTGCTGGCTCGGTCTCGGCCAAGTGCCACAAGCCACCAACACCAGCTGGATTCTTAAAAGACAGAGATCGGTTTATAGATGTCACTCACTGACCTGGCTTTCTTGCATCTGGAAAGAAGACGAAGAACTGAATCCACTGAACACGACTGAACACGACTGCTATGCACAGAAAATGAAAAAAAGGGAACACCACATTCTTAAGCACTGGGTTTGCTTTAAGCCAATCCTCGCCAGCCCTCCGAGTAGAGGACGCCAGCCCTCCGGAGCCTTTCGGGCATAGCTCCGAACGGGGCGACCCTGGCCTTACGACGAACGGGGCTTGCTCCGTTCGCCTTTTTCAGGTCCTGGAAGTCGGTCCTGGAGGAAGTGGCCAGCCGTCCAGGTGCGATGGAAGTGTCCAACGTCCCTGGTGGGAAAAGCTTGGACCGCGTCAAGCGAAATGCGCCCTTTTCGCTTGTTTGGGGTTTGACCTGAGAAGACAGGACGGCTCCGGATGTAGACAGGACGGCAGTGAAATCCAACTGACTGGAAGGCACTTGGGGCATCATTGGGCCAATACTCCAAGATGGATCTTGAGGAAGTTATTTGGATCGGTGGTTTGGTCAAATCCTGTTTGTTTTATTTCGTTGTACACATCGGCAGAAGCTAGTAGCTGCTGCCTGCCACGTCAGGCGCTGGCTACTTGACCGTGTCAGGTCTGGTTCTCAGCCCCGTGGAACTGTCGGGAGATTGTTCACGTGAAGCCTGTGAACATTTGTGGACATGGAAACATGTGTTTGTTACTTCAACAACCTAGGCAAGTGCAAACTAGACATGACATGTTTTCTTTGTCCATCTTTTTTTCCCAATCTGGAATATTGAACAGAACATAAAGAACTCCTCTACATCCCTCCAAGGAGGTTGGCTGCATTGCAGCTCCACCCTAACTTGCGAAGAAAAACGTAAAGAGAAGAGCCTCGGATAATTTGATTTTGGGCCCAATATCACCGATGCTGTGGGTCAAACCCAATCCTCAAACCTAATCAGAGCAGATGTCAATGATCCATGTATATATAGATGGAATTGACAAAACCACCTGAGTCTTGTGCAAGCTCTGCATCCATCGGACACTCGTGCAGCTTCATGCTCCAAAAGCATGTCCCAGTTGACGAGGCTGTGTGATCCAATGGGTTGGACTGGCATCCATTTAATAAAACATAAAAAAACAACATTTGTTTGTGTATTATAGTCATAGTGGTATAGTAATGTATTATATATATTATATATATATTCTATATATTGTGTATGTGTGTGTGTTCCCTCAGTGGGAAGGATTTTCGTAGTCAGACATCTTTTCAACACCCTCTCACAGGTCACGGAGAACTTGGAGTTGGCATTTCGTCCTGGTGCATGTTGATGGGAGCGGCTTTGGAGCTTTTGGACAAATGGTTGTTCACCTTGTCTTCAAGCCATCAAAGTGTGGCTAGCATGAGCTGGGCTTTCTTTATAATTATGGCTTTGAACCTCAAGAAGCACAAAAGGTTTTGCCCGAACAGGTTGCACCAGCAGCGAACATGAAGGAACAACATGCCATACTTCGCTGATTGTGGCTAGCACTTCAGACAAAATACTGGCCGGAACTTCCGAAAACCGTTCCAAAGTTGAACGCCGAAACATGGCACTGCCTGCCTTCAGCGCCACCTGCGGTGCTGCTCGCACTCGCGGTCTCGTGGTACCTTGGAGTTGGTCGAGCTGAAGTGTTTCCTCATGTTTGCTCGGGTCTATAGAGCCTAGCTGAGGTGTCGGTGGTTGGGGATTGTTGGGGATGGTTGGGGATCAGGGAAGCGCACAGAGATGTGACAATCATCGAGACAAGGTCTCGGAGATGTGACAAGTGACAAGGAATGACAAGGATGTCCTGAAGTTGTTGTATCAAAGTTTTGATCGATGTTGAACAAAAACGACCTGGCCTTCTCCATTGTGTCATGATGTTCATGTTTTCTGGCATGCTTTCTCGTATCACCACAGGTCCAGGTCCAGGTTCAAGTCAGACCTCCCGGCGGCTCGGCTGTTTGGCCAGCCGACCACCCCCACGCAGCAGGTCACACCGCAGACATCACGTCTGCACACGGGGCCTCCGTCTTCGCACGCGCCCCGCGGCGGCGTGGCGACTGGATGGAGGTCGACCCGGGCCCCGACCGAGTAAATCGGCGGTCCGATGGGAGTCAGAGTGTGCCGTACATTCCAGTGAGCCTCGAACGTACAGGCCCCCCAAAAGCAAGGGTGTTCAGTCAAGGAAACGGCTCGGCATGCATTTCTTGCCATGTTTCTGGAAGCCCAAGTTGATTGATTGCCAGCCCGAAGGTTCTAATATGTTCTAATGTACCTCAAGGGCACTGTTGAAGGTGCTTTTGGTCCCTCCAAAATGTTTTTTAGGCGTCGCTGGAATGTATGATTTTTTGGATCAGAAGTTCGTGGAACATGCCCACACCACTCACCTGTACTATCCTGTACTTCTTGTTTTGAAGAACTTTCTTAGGCACGACCTCAATTTGTTGTGGTCATTGACAAACGTGCTGTGATTCTGATGGAGTTGCTGAATGTAAGTGAATGTTAAACTGTTATACCCTTACTTGTACGTTTGCTGACTGCAATAAAGCATACTTTGACTGTGTTTTATTTTATTTTATGTGCCTTGCGTTTTGTTGCACGCGTCTCAGAACATGTTCCATCTCAGCATGCCATGCGAAACCGTACGAAATCAGGAGATGTGTTTCTTCCCTTGCAAAAAAGAACGAACCATCAAGCTAGGAGAAACATGGAGAAACCCAATCCCTTTGGCTACACGTTTGGCTCCTTGGAAGTTGGGCCAGCCTGGCTTTTTGCGTTGCAACGAAAACACTTGATTGACGCAACTGGGCACGGGTCCCGAGTCCCGTGGGTTCCAGACCCCAGTGATGGGTTGGCACCTTCCGGCAAGGCACCAGGGCGCCGAAAACGCCGTCGCGCCCACCGCAGGTGGTTCGCCTTGTGGCCAGCCTTCACGCGCGCCGCGTGCCGTGCGAAGAGTGCGTGCCGAGCCAGGCGGGGGGGAGGGATGGAGCCATGGAAACTGCGAGCCCGTTTCACTTTGGAGCCGGTTGATCTTCAAGTAACAAGGTGCATCGCCACTAGCAAGGACGGGGATTTCCAGCCGGCTGGTCATTTTCAGTGGTCAACCAGGGTTGCCCAGTGTTGACCCACAAAGATGGAGACCTGCAGGAGCCCAAGAAGTTTAAGACCTCCAGTTCCATGAATGATATGAATGGAATATGAATGGATGGTGGTAAATGGAAGATAGGGGTGTGCCATCAAAATCATCAAATGCCAATATCCACTCACTGCATGATCCAGGAAGGTCTATCACATCGCAATACGGGGTGGGATAGCATGGGGTGAGTCTTAATCAACAGTCAAAAGGATACCCTATAATACCCTATAGTATTCCAATCATGGTGTTTGTTGGGGAGGCTACAAGGCCGACGTCAATCTTTCTTCTATTGGTCTTGGAAGGCTAGGGTACAGCTTCGGGAAATGGTTGAACAGCTTTTGATCCAGGTTGCTTGTTCCTGAACATCATCAATGATCTGAGAGCAAACGGGTGTGTGAGTCGCAGATCTTTTCGGACGTCGGAGGTGGTGACTTGCACATTTGAACATGCATCCAGGGGTAGACCAGTCCAGGCAACTTCGCACAGATGAGCAAGCAACGTGCACATGTAAATCACCTCAAGCCTGTATTTAACAAACCAAATTGTGTTTTCTTGGACTTGTTTTGATGACATCCACAGAATGATTGAACTGGACCCAATGAAGAGTTTGTTCAGCACGGTTTTGTTTGTTTGTCAAGAATAATCAGAAGTTGGGGGGCACCCGGGCATACTTCTTTTTCCTCTCACGTCAGGTGGAGTGCCTACAACGCCGGGCACGGGGTGGAGCTCAATGACGATGAGAACGTCGCGAAACGCAAGGACACCTGGCAGGCAGAAGGAAAGACTCAACACACAGGATCATGCAGTGGATGCATCGTTTTGACAGCTCAGCTGTTCGATGAACTGACTGATGCACTTGTTTTAGCTTGACCAAACATCCGAACAACAGAACTGGAAACCCTGACTTGCTGCGAGTGGTACTCTATTTACAAGATCATTTTTGGAGAGGTGCGGAGACACAAACAAATGCAACAACTTAGTGGTGTCTTGTGATGTTCTGTATGCTTTCTGGTGCTCTCCTTTTGCATGTGCAGAGGATCAAATCCAGTCCAAGCCAGTTGCACCTTGCAAGAACCAATTGAGGGTGGATTCAAGCCGAAGGATCAACGAATTCCAGCAAACAAACCAGTGCTGCCAGTAATACAGGTGAAAGCCAGCTTGCAGGTCAACCATCCACGAGTGATTGAAACAACAATAAACTTGAAGAAACATAGAACCGATGAGCCACCCGAGACTGCGGATGTATTCACTTGGAAGGGGTCCCTCCCTTTTTGAGAAAGTCCAGTCATTGGATCGTGCAATCCTCTCGCGGGGCGGTGTTTTTTTGTTTTTTTATTTGTTGGAGGTGGACCATCATACGCGTTGTTTTGATGTTTTTTGCGTCAGGGTGTGTCGATTCAGGCAGCGTTTCACCCGCCTGGAGCCTTTCAGCCTGTCCTTTTTCAGGTTTGCCTGGCAGGTGACCTTGAAGTCTTGAAGGCCATGGTGAACAGTTCTTTGCGCCCCACCACACCGAGGATCACTACAGCCGTGCGGAGGGACACTGCATCGTGGTGTCCGACGACCCCGTCCAGTCGAAGGAAGGGCCTGGAGGGCGGGACTATTACGCGGAAATCAAGATGGAGAGCCTGGGATTGGCACGGAAAGCGCATTGGCCCAGCGCATCCCAGCGCTGCGCTGACGGATTGGAATTACCTTATCTAGTTGGTTGAACAAGTGAGTGGGATCCCCTGCAAGATTGTTCGGGGTTATGGGTCTCCGCACTAAAGAAAAGGTATTGAAAAGGTTACTGTAATTTAGCTATTAGTCCAGGGAAACTGCAGGGAGTGAGTTGGTGGGTCAATCTTATGTGCATGGACCCGGAAGAGAGCAGGTGGATCAATCCAACAAAGAGCGCACGAAGTACGCAAGTCACCCAGGTTGTGGACAAGTCCAAACGATGGCCACTCCACCAAAGGCTCACTCTTATTGTTGCACAACTAGCAGTGTGTGGATTACAACAAATGCAACGCATTCCCCCAAGCTCAACCCCAAACAGATTGAATCCCACAAGACTTGATGGCCAGGTGATTCAAGCCGTCTCCTCTCAGGTGGTTCAAGCCTCCATCTCCCCCGTCTCTTTCCTCCGCTATGGAGCCCAGCGTGGTGGGCGTGCCCACCAGCGCAGCCCCGCCTGCGCCGCCCGCGCGCGCCACGCCAGAGATTGAGGAGAGGCTGGTGCAGCTGATGGCTTCGATGGAGCCCTTAAGGCGGAAAGATTGTGATTGGCATGTATGGTGGGTAAAGTTTGGTTTAAGTATACATCAATATCTATGTGGAAGATGGATTGTGAAATACCTGATTGACCTGATTTGATGTGAGTGCAAGTTTCTTTGCTAAACCTGTGAAGCAGGAAAGAGCCTGTTCAGGGATTGTAAAATTTCTGAAAAGGGGCTGACATCATGCACAGACAGCTTTTGCGTTTACGGTTCAGGAAAAATCCCGAGTGGACAACTGAAGCACCCGCTCTATTGTGCAGAGAAGGAACAGGGAACTCACGCAAATCATGAGAGCGACTGCAAATCAATCGTCCCTTCATCCTATCATCCCAAACTGGTTGCTTTTCATCACAGATGAATATGGAGCCTGAACAGGGTCATTCCTCTACAGACGATGTTGATCGATGCTTATGGACGCCTGGCCACGCGTGGGTTTGCACAAAGTTTGCACAATATTATCAATATTCAACAGAGTATACACTAGTACGTTAATTATCATTAATTAACTAGCTTTGTTGGTTTCCATGTTCAGTGTGAAGTGACATGTTTTTCAACCACAGCTGCTGAGTGGAAGGCCAATGAAAACACAAACTTGTCATGGTGCCCATTAGAAGTTTCACTGCAAGCTAATTACTTGTCGCTGACCCTGTGTTCACTAAAGGTTCCCGCCCCCGCCAAAAGATCCAACGACATCCTCCAAAGACCCTTTAAGAGCCCTTATCCGTCCTTATCCTACCAAAAGAACCCAAACAAAAACTCATCTAAGCATATACTTTTACACATGTAGCTTGGAGGGAAACCGCCCTTCAACCTCCAGCTTCGCTTTTTTGACACCGAAGAAACCCCAAAACGCGGGGCCCGCCGGACACGGAAGAAACCGGTCGGACAGGCCGGAGATCTTGCGTTGCACCTGTGCGTTTCGTGCCCTGAAGGGCCTGCAGGCGTCTTCCTGTTCGCGCGACCGGTCGCGAGATCTCGGCGCATGGCTGGGTGGACCGGGTGTCAATCATCCAAAGGCACCTGCTAGAATGAACCAGACGACGAACATTTTGGTCCTATAGTTTGTGAACCATATTTCCATGATGTTCCATGTGACCTATAGTTAAACCTTCATGTGACCATTATAACCCTTCGTAGCTGGGTGTGAGCTACAGTCGGCCCTTTCATGTTCGGCGGATCACGGAACCGCTTGCGCAGTGAACTGTCAGGCCAAGAGCTTGCGCAGCCGTGTGAACCCTAAGGCAGATTCAGCGATGTGAACCCAGGACACACGAGAAGGTCGTTGACAGAACTCGGTTCAGCTTTTCGGTGTCAGTGTTGATGGAAATCACTCATTCTGTATTATATGCATTGGTTTCAAGATCAAAGCCATGAACCTGTCTTCAAATGATGTTTTGTTTTGTTGTTTGCTTTCGAGTGCTTTCGATATCCGTGCTATTCTACGGTTTTTCTTTTCAAATGCTTCTTGGTGATCTTGAAACGGGCAGGTGCACTGGAATAGCAAACGTGAAACTGTTTGTATAGGCACTCTGTTTGGATGGATGATCGTCATTCAAATGCCTTTTCTTTCCCTGCAGTTTCCTTTTTTCCCACCTGTCAGGTGACGGTTATTAGATTTTATCTCAGCTGCCTTGCTTCTCCGCCTCCTCCTCCTCCGCCTCTTCGTCCTCCTTCTCCGGCGCCTCCTCACCCGCAGGTGTCGGATGGCAGTGTTCCCTGACGGACCTCAACCGCGAGCTTCGGCTCGGCTGGCAGTGTTCCCCGCCGGACCTCGACCGCCAGCTCCAGATGGCAGCATGGCAGCGTTCCCCGCCGGACCTCATCCGGATGGCAGTGTTCCCCGCCAGACCTCAACTGCCAGCTCCGGATGGCAGGGATGGCAGTGTTCCATCCACAGGACCTCAACCGCAAGCATTGGCTGGTAGTGTTCAGAAGAGATGCCAGATAGAACGCCAGAAAGAATATCAGAAGATACGCAGAAGAGACATATGTCAGAAGGAATGTCAAAAGATATGCCAGAAAGAATGTCAGAAGATAGCCCAGAAAGAATGTCAGAAGATATGCCAGAGAGAATATCAGAAGATGCGCCAGAAAGAATGTCAGAAGATTTGCTAGAAAGAATGTCGGAAGATTTGCCAGAAAGCAAGTCAGAAGATATGCCAGACAGAATGTCAGAAATTATGTCAGAAGATGTGCCAGAAAGATCGTCAGCAGGTATGCCAGATAGAATGCCATAATGAGTTTCAGAACAGATGCCGTAAAGAATGTCAGAAGATATGTCGGATAGAATGTCAGAAGATATGCCAGAAAGCAAGTCGCAAGATATGCCAGAAAGGATGTCAGAAGAGGTGTCAGAAGATATGCCGGGAAACATGTCAAACAGAATGTCAGAAGATATTGCAGAAAGATGTCAGCAAGAGTGGCATCACTCAAAGTAGAGTATTTTTGTTGTGTTCTTCTGCAAGGTGCTGGAACACAAGGTGCTACAACTGATATTTGCTGCTTTCTGCAAACAAATATGTTCTCTCACTGCAGAGGTTTCTCTGCCGGCCTGCACAGGGATGCCAACAGTTTTGAGGGGTCTAAGTGTTCCTGTATGAGAAGCCAAAAACAAGCAATGACCATTTTAGTAAAGAGTGGTCGTGACATGTATGATTTTGGTGAAGCCTGAAAAAGCGATCTTCCTCCGAAAGGTAAAGCGATAACCATGTCCAACGCATAGTTTTCTTGGGGGTCTTCCACCAGATGCTCATTCCTACTCCATTGGCACCTGTTAATACAAACATAGATTAATAAACCTCTCCTAGTTGATCCGAGCCCACAAGGTCGCCGAAAATTGCCCAAAGTGAAAGTACTATTGGTTGCTAATGTCCCCCTAATCCCTTAGTTGGGTACCAGAACCCCCCGCAGTTAATCCAAGCCCACACAACCCCAATCTTGTTTAAAACCATTATTAAAGGATTAACTAGGGGAGGCTTATTAATCAACTCATCAACTCTCAACTCATGCTCATCAGCTCACCCCTTCTCAAACCTTCATGGTCCAAGGTCCCATGGCTTCAGGGGGAGTGGACCTCATGAATGGTACCTCAGACCTTCTAGACCTTCTATGTAAGGGGGTCATTGGTCCGGTCTTCGCAATACTTTGTAACCAGGGGCCCGGAGATGCTTTAGCATCGCTTGGCACTGCTGATACCGTTGGAGGTGCTAGCCATGCCAACCGCAAGTCGTGTGATTTGTTTTTGATGTTTCATATGTCTCTTCTGATTGAATCTGTTTTGATCAGTGTTTGGTTGATTTGTTTGCTCATTATGTTGTTGTTGATCTTGTGGTTTCTGTCCTCTTACAGAAGTACCAGGTCGCCAGTTTCAGGTCGTTTGTCGTGCGCGTCGTTTCCCCGGTCAGGTCGCTTACTCGTGGAGTCATGAAACCAAAGACATCCAGCAGTTCTGGTCGCACAGTTGGCGTAGAAGCGGCTGGTCGAAGATCTTCATGCTCGCGGCCACGTGGTGCGAGAGTAAGTCGGCGCCGTCGATTCCGTGGAGCGGATTGAGTGTCTGGAGAAGCGTTTTGCTCTCCAAAGCTCTGAACCAAGCAGGGAGTTTAGAGGATGTTTCTACTGAAACAAACAGACTGGTTGTGTGAGGTCCAGTGGTGGAGTTCTCCATTCGACCAACGATTCTTGAGTCACTTCTCCTGGTTTGCGTTTCCGTCGGCTCGATCAGTGTCCCTTGACGGAGATCCTACGAGCCCTAGCAGTGAATGTTGTTTCTTTCTTCCCAAGAAGAAACAACAAACTCGCTGCCTCACTCATTGCCTCACAAACTGACTCGCTGTCACTCACTGACTGACCCCTTATGGTCATCCGGAGAGAGAGATTTGCCACTATTCATGTTGTTTGGTTAACTACTTGATCCACACCTGGCTGGCCCAGATAACTCACGCCGGCCCACATCTTCACCGCCACCTTCACCGCCCAGGTGATGCACAATGGTTTTCCAGCTCTTTGCTGTGGTACCCTGACGGCCATCAGCGTGTCCATCCTCTTTCACGTGTTTTCCGAGCTGCTTGGGAGCGCAAAAACTCAGCTTGAAACTTGAAACATCCGCGTGGCGCTCCAAAACCAGAAAAGGTCGGAGAAGAGAGGTGGCACACAGCAATGAAGACACCTATTGCATCCTATTGCACAATATTGCACATATTCTGCTGTTTTGCTATGGGCTTGCAAGTGGCATATTCCATTGGTAATATGAGACATTATGATAAAAACTCTGACATTCATGTATGTATATATGTAATTGTCGGTGGGGGGAAGTGTAGTGAACTTAAAGTTGCTTGTGTTTGCATCAGCGCCACCCATGGGTTCATGTTTGTAGTTCACCCGTCAGCAGATAGGACAATTGTATAATGGCTAGAGTTCGATTAAGCACTTCGTGATTGACCTAGAAGCTTCAACAAACACAATGGTATAGATTTGATCAAGCACGTATATAATAGTAGTTTCTTAAACCCACACACACACATACATCATCTAAATTAAACGTACACAATGTTCAAAGTATCACTTCAAAAGTACCTGACACTATGATTAAGGGACATTAGCTTAATGATGATTAAGACACATTATTGCACTTGAATTTCTCAAACGCTTTCTAAACTACTTCGCAAGTGGCTCTAACATTCATACAACTAATCAGGGTAATAGGCCAGTTTTGACTCTACATCAGCGGAGACACCAACCAATATTCAGATTATTTTCAGTGAGAATGGTTGCTATTGTTCAGAATACAGACCCTACATGGGCTATGTTCTTGGGCCCTTTGGGATTCTCAAGCACTTGTTGCATTACAGTTGCATTTTTTTCTTGGTGGAATAATATATTGAGTAAAGCAGACGCTTTGATTTGTACAATTCCTTAAAAAAGAAATCAGCTTTAAGAGATATATAGATATACTGATCATGATGGTTTGGTGGATTTCCGTTTCTATAAAACACATGACTTGACTTTCAATGAACAAAGCCTGGCTGCACGCTCACCTTGTCCAATTGACCACTCTGGAGGAGGCAACAGACCAGGGTGTCCAAGGTCAAAGTAGTTAGAGTTGACTCAACCAGGTCCTAGTGTTTATTCATTATGTGATTCATTATGTTTAATCTTCAAGGCACCCTTTTCCCGTGTTGGGTGCGTGGTTCCCACCGACCGGATCCTTGAAAAAGCTGCGTGAGGCCAGTGAATGAAGAGATTGGAGACAGTCTCAGGGACTCGTGGGTAGCAAGAAGGCAAATCTTGGTTTTGCTTGAGGGTGATGTTTTATTGGTAAATCCCCTCCTGGGAAATAGTTGTTGTTTATTTTCCCGGACTCCTTAAGCAAAACCAAGCACATGTTTGTTTGAAGTTGTTTCTTCAAACGAAGCCTTTTTAAAGGGTTGCCGTGGCTCCAAAAAGGACAACATTCGACCAAAGGATTCGTTTTGCCACGAGGCAGCGCTGCGACCAGATCCTTCTTTTGGCTTGGAACGGGTTTCGTCCCACTTGGGACCGAAACAAGAAACTTGCAGAAAGTCTCACCTCAACTCCAGGTCTTTTGAAGAAGGTCTCCGTTTGGGGCTTTGATTGTCCGTGCCTCGGTCGATTGATGTTCTTCAATTACCCGGAGTCTCACTGGCTCTCACGACCCAGGAACAGTATACTGCTGCTTTGTCAGTGGGACGAGTTGCCGGGCTCATCAGCAACTTCAGCGCCATGCTGGTGGGTGCTCTTTGCTTGGCCTACTGGAGGTTCGTGTGATCCATCCGGTCACCTGGCCACGGTGGATGGATGTTGAACCAAGGTTTCACATTAGGAAACAGCTGATTGGTACAGAAATATAATGAAACAATATATGTTTGGCTGAAACATATTTGTTTCTGGTATGCTTTAACATATAAAAAATAGGGTGCCTCTTCATTTGCAGTCTCTTGGCTACTAAATGAGAGGTGTTCCTTCGGTAGGTCGAAACCAGAAACAAATTGCTCGTTGTGTTAGGGGTGAGCTTGCTGGTTTGAAGGGCCCTGGAACGGTGTAAGAATGTTGATTGATTCGTCAATCAAAGTTCAAGAGAATGAAGGTCGTTTTGGCCATTCTCTGGACTTTTGCTAACTATGTGCAATCTATGTCAATTTGTTCGAAATGGAAAACCATGGCGTTGAGGACAAGCGCTGGTAGGACCGTGGCTGTTGGTGGTCATCATCCACTCAGTGCATTTCCTTCCAGGAAAATATTGCCAGTTCTAAGAGCAAGTGTTTGTTGAGTAAGCTACAGCTTGTGGGGTAGTCCAAATGACACCATAGCGACTCACAAGAAACTGATTGGGATATGGATGGGATGTTTGCATTATTATAGACAATGTTATACATTGCTGCATAGCTTTTGAGTTCTTTTGGAGCCTTTGTTCTTGAGCTTCTCGCAGGTGTCAGAAGACTGTCTTTTTGGATATGGTGTGCATCCATCAGAAGGATTCAGCACTGAAGATGGCAGGTCTCGTCAGCATGGGAGCCTTTCTGAGTCTAGGCCCAACTTCGGCGTCGTTTCCGCAACACCCTCAGAGGGCATGTGGACCGTGCCTCAAAAAAAATGGAGCACTTGTCGCTATGTTTGCGAAATAAATCCGTCTATAGTGATGATTATATATATATGTGTATAATTACTGTACCTACTTGGACCCTCCAAGTATCCCTAAAAGAGGTAGAAAGCTGGCTGACCAGGATCCCAACAACACGTCACGACCTTTTTCACCAGCCGATTTCGGCACGAGGTTTGTGCGGAAGGGGTTTGCGCTGGGCCGACACCTCGAGCCCCTCGATCTCGGCCGATTCTAAGACCATCTCTTTGTACCTGACACTTTCCTCCGGCTGAAGGCTGAAGGCACCGCTTGGATGGTGCAAGGAAATGTACCAACCCACAACCATGAGGATGTGATTACTGCTTGTGAGATCAGATCGTTTGCATCAGCGCAAGAGCCCTCAATTGTGTCCCTTGCACAAAAAGGACTCAAGGCGGACGATCCCATACCGGGACCACCGTGATGCTTTGGAGCACACGCCAAATCGATCCAACTCGGGCCATCTCATCGTGTTTCTTCGAACAGTCCACCTGCGTCTTGTGACATGTCCGACATGCAACGGATGGAGCTTCCACCACCAGCCACAGACGGACCGAAATAGCTCGGACGTCGCAGGACGTAGCGGCGCTGCTTCGCCGTGGAACGACGTCGAGACCATGCGAAACCAACTCCAAGCCTTGGTGGAAGGATCAGTTCCGATGTCCCCAGTGTTGTTTTCTGAGATTCATAAAAATACCTGGGCAGCTGGTCTCCATGTGTCAGAAGTTGTTTGATCTCCATCTTTTGTGTTTTTCTTTTTCAATAGATGGTTCCATCCTCAGGAAGGAGTCCAACTCCATGCTGGTTTGCTGGGATGCCACCTACAACCATCGGCTTTGGTGTCTCTTCGAATTGGCAGCCTTTCTCAAGAGCCGCGGTAATTCTACTGCAAGGCCAGGGGGGACACCAGACTGGGACACATCGACATGTTGAAAACAGATGTGCTTACGGTGCCCAAGAAAGACAACCAAACAAAACACATGTTGAATGGGTCTAATGTTGGTTTAATTGTTTCTTCTCTACAGGAGCATGTTCCGGAAAAACACGACCCACTGTACTTTGTGTGCCTCTTACTTCTTATCCTGTAGATTTCGTTGCAGAACAAACTCTGGTTTTCCGTTGTGTTTGCTTTGTTTATCGCCCACACGTGAATGAACGGGAACTGTTTGTTCATGCTGGAGGAGCCCCACACGGTGGACAGACTTGACTCAAGTGCAGAAACAAATCCTGGTGTACTTCGTCAATCTAGATCTTTCATCAAAACCTTCGGAGCAGAGCATGATAGAGTTGGCTGCTGTAACAACAGTTGGTAGCTGTACGCAGAGCCCAAAGCCATTTCTTTCGAACAGCTGTGTTGAAGTGACAAGTGCCATCTGAGGTTCCACAGTTTGGTCCGGGTTTCCCAAGACCATCACATTGTTGTAGAAGACAGCAACCAAATGATGCATGTTGCAGCTGCTATTGTATGTAAGGGACGTCCCCGAAGTCCTGTTCATACTTCAAAAGAGATTTCAGAGGTCGCAGTTGTCCTGGAATCAAAACCGCTGTCGTGTGTGTTCTGTGTGATCAATCAAGCCGTGACCGAACCTGGCTGAAGTCGAACAAGCCAACGACTCATCGGATAGCTGAGGTCCACAGAGGTCATCAGAGGTCATCAGAGGTGTCTCCGAACGGACTGCCAAAGACAATCCACCAGTTCATTGTACAAGTATTAAGTTCAATTGAGCCCATCGTCATCCGACTCTACAGAGGCATCATCATGTCATATCATATCATATCATGTCCATGCATGGACTATAGCTTCCCCCTGACCCTGCTGGCTTTCATGAATCGAGGCGACGAGAGACCAAGGGACCCAACTTGATCAGACGTGATGGGACCCACTTGACGCAGAAGGTCAGCTTGGTACACATGTGGGGCCCTCGTATGTGTACATGGGCACGTTGGCTTGGGTGTAGTACAAACAGAGTGATCCCCCAAGTCCAGTGCCCCATCGTCGCGGCGAGGTCCTCGGTTCCCCCAATTCACGCCCATTCCACGTATATTTTTTGGCTGGTACACATGTGCTTTCTTTCGGAAGACCCAGTTTTTCCATGGCGCTTGAAGATTATAGAGAACCCACCATGGAGTCGGCCCAAGACGAACCTCACATCTGTCAGGCCCTTGGTGGTTCGACCCACTGCCCTGGGCCCGGCGACTCGGCCTCATGCCAACCCCCATAGACCGAACCCCACCTCCACGGGAAAGATCCTGTTTGTAGAGGAACAGTTTGTGAGAACACAGCTCGGCTCGCCAAGATCCTGGGCTCGCCAAATGGAAGGTTTTGTTCACGGGTTTCTCCACTTCAAGAAACATCACCAGTTCGAGGACCTGGGACCTGGGACCCGTTGGTTGGGCACATATGAAACTTCGGATCTGAAAGGATCGGATTATTGAGAAAGGTTCGCACACCGGCTGCGTGGGCCCCACACGATGGAAGGTCCGGATTGCAGCGGATTAACTGCAAGTGAGTGGATGAGCTGGGAGGCTGCAAGTGTGTGGAATCGCCCTATTCCTCCAACTCGCCATGGAATCCCAAACCCTGAACCCCTATAGACTATAGACTCGCTTTGAGGGCGCTCTCCTCTCTCTGGCCTGAGGTGGCGCTGGGGTTGTTCACGGGTCTCTCCTTGGGAATCATGTCCCTCTTGCTGGTGCCCCGTGCCGGCTCCAGTGCATCCACAATCACTCTGCGGATCCTGGTGCTCTTGGGGGCACCTAAGCAGATGGCCCGAGTCGGCTGCGCGGGGCTGGTTGTATGAGTTGTATGCAACGAGAGGTTTTATACCATCGGTCGACGTGTGGACTTGGATGGATGGGTCAACATGTCATAGAACAGCCAAGTGGAAACCAGAGAGTTGTATAGTCCAAATCCCAACTAGAGCAACCACTGGCCATCTCTATTTACTCTTTACTCAAAAGCAGATTTCGTTGCAATCAGGGGTCTCAACATTGGGTTCAGGGGTTGGGAGTGTGGTGACTTCTGAAGCCTTTTGGCTTCAAAGGTGTGGGATGGGGGGCCAAGCCATGGGGTGAGCTTGGCAATGTCTGAGAAGCGCAAATTGTTTCTGGCCTCAATGTTAAATCCTACTTTCAGCTTAGCTGGGGTGTGTGTTTGCCTTACTAAGTTTTGTTTCTACCAAATTCAAATCAAAAGAATACCACATACAGCTGGAACCTAAGGTTCCTCAGATCTGTGGCTGCCACACCTGCTGTTAATTTGAAGGCCAGTGGTGGACCATTGGAGGTGCTGGATGATGGGAACCGACGACGTGCCTTCATTCGAGCTTTGAATTCAGAGGAGGAGCTGTGTGAAGAGACAACTGTTGATATCACCATGGAATCAGTGTTACGGTTTCATGGAGATGTTTCCTTGAAGAAACAAATTGCAGACAGTGGAACAGCTATGCCAGATGTCTTCAGAAAACGGCCAAACTATGACAACCGGAAACGACATCTATTTGCGAAGTCAGTGGACAGAGTTTCGCAACTCATCCAATTCAGTGTGTTGTCTTTCTTTACAAGTACCAGTCAGTCTGCAAGTGGGTATTATTGAAAGAATCAATTTAATGTAATCATTGTCTTTTCGCTCAGGCAGCTGGACAATGGCCGCTCACGTGCCAGAGTTGAGAAACTGATTTGCAATGGAGTTGGCTGCCGATGTGGGAGATCATCTTGTTTTCGCCTATTCCAATCCATTTTGGACAAACTGTTGGAGTTCATCAACTTGTTCTGGAGTTTGGGAAAAATTTATCAAGATGAGTATGTGCATTGGTTGCAGTATGATGCAGCATTCTACAGTTTCTTCAGTGTTTGTGAAAACTAGTTTGCAGTCAGTGAAATGTGATTTAGCTGAACATAGTGCAATCTGTATCCAAGGTGCGCAAAACGGTGAGGAGATCTGGGGATGTGCGCAAGGTGTGGCTTTTCCTTGGGCACCGGGTGTCTCCCAAATGCTTTGCGGCATTGGTGGGAATTGGTAATGAGCGATTGCAGCGGTTGCTACATGGACAAGTAGATCAGCGATTCAACATTTGGGGTGGAGTTTCCTGCCTGGACAATCATAATTTCCACACATTGGAATCAGTTTGAGGGAGTTGGACTGGGGGAGCGTGGGGCCTCTAGATATTGATTAATTTCATTTGTAACACTGTTGTGCCAAGGCCCATAGAAGGCGACCGGCGGTGAAGGCAATGGCGATTGATCAGTACCTCTTGGGACTCTATATGTCTGCGGGGGGGATGCTTCCTACACGGTCATGTGGCTGAATTATATACTACACAGTGCTGATTGGCTATTGGATGGTTGCTGGATGTGTTTTTGGGTTCTGAATTGTTTCATGTTGTTTCCAAACTGCTATGAGCGAGGTTCCAAAGGGGTGGCCGCAAGCGCAAAATGGGGACCGTTGAGAAGGACCCTGTGACAGTCACATTGGGTGAGCCTTGCCGGGACACGGAAGGCGTGTCGGCGCAAATATGATTCATTGATCAAAGGAAGCCTAGTAAGTGTCAACTGTTACACATAATAACTGACACTGATTGAATTAACTAGTTTTGTTCGTGCAGGTCGTGATGATGTCAGCGATGATGATGATTTGGAGGCAGAAGAGGCTCTGCTTTTGCCGGAAGAGTGCTTGGAGCAAGATGAGGAACTACGCTTGCACATACTGGGATTGCAGAGCTACTTTACGAAGTAGCTGAATTGCACATCAAACATGCAAGCAGCAACTAGGAGTGAATGACCCACTATGACAGGAAGTTTGTTTGGACACTCACAGGCATAGCGTTTGCTTTTTTGTTGTTTTGTTTTTTATTTTGTTTCGAGTGTGTTGTTTTCCAGTCAGGTATGTGGAGAACAAGATCCTGGATCTCCCAACAAGATTCTTGGCACCTGGCACCATAAGTATGCTATGGTGGGAGTTTAAGAACAACACCCAAACAACCGTATCGCATCTTGAAGCAATGGTTTGTGTGTGTCAAGTTCTTAGAGATGATTGTAATTGATAATGTTTTAGACTTGGAACATTTGGCTGTAAATTATCTTCGATGAAGGTATATGCATTTCTGGAGGCAATTCCAGAAACGGTGGTGCAAAGTCCTCAGATTCATGACACCATCGGATCATGCAGCATGCGATGACTGCGTCGCATTCAAGGATTTGTTTCGAGAGGCGACAGACACTTGTATGTGATTCAACGCAGTCACTCTTATGTGAAAATTGTGAATATCATGGAGAGGCATGGAGCCTTTGGATTGTACGCGTGTCTCAGGATGACAACATGAGGTGTGAAATTGCCAAGGGGTACAAGCTCACCTGGACCATATCCGTTCCGACCGAAACCTAGAAGAATATCTTCAGACCTTGTCGCCGTTGGAGCCTGGAAATCCTATCATGATCCATGTGGAATCTTGACATAATCCAAATTTCATAAGAAACAAGTTGTGAAGTCGTTTCCGTAGGTTGGTAGGTTGAATCCTGGTTTACTGCTGATTTTGTCTCATTCTCCAAGACCTCTCATTAAGGATGGCATGGATCAGGCCAAGTGGAGCTGCCCTAGAAACAAGCGGGCGTTGATGCCAAAGGCTCTGAGCACCTACCAGCGGCCTCGGTTTAAGGTCGAGGGCGTGTGGTGTCACAATGTGACCCTTCGATTATTTTTGATCGATTGCCGGGTGCCATCGGATTCCTCCATGGTCATTGAGACCCTTTCCAGAACGATACAAGATGTTGCTGATCTGTGCAACCGTCGAGGGAAAGCATGCCCAGATCAGCTATTGATCTGGGTAGCATGGAAGCAACAAGGGAAGTTGTGCCATTCACTCATGAATTGAACGACAGCATTGCTTGGTTGCAAAGTGCATAATGTTTTTATGTATTCGAGTTTGTTTGTGTTTGGCCTAAGGCTGATAATTGCGTGAGGGAGGCAAAGAATGGGTACCTGCTTCGCTGGTTATCAACCATCATAACGACCTCTCCGATTCGTATGGCTTCCCTCCTTTTCTCCAAGCGGGGACACACTCACAATGCCCTTGGTGCCTGGGAGTAATTAGTAGGCCCTAAAGCTAAATTAGGTTCAGCAAACAAAACCTCTACCTGCTTGTTAGCTTAAAGCTAGCTGAGATCAAATCTATGGCATCATCGCAACCTGCTTCCGATACCTGGATATTTTATCCGATGAGGCGGACATCGTGCAGTCATACTCTTAGCTGCGATCCGAACACATGTCTTACTCAATGTTTACATTCCGAGGAAGCTGACCACCATTCTGCATCGGATCAACATCAAATCTTGGATTGGCCCTGATGCTGAGATCAAGGTTGAGTACTTGAGTGGAGTCCGAAATTGGAAGGGATGGTTTCTAGACCCAATTCTAGCAGTTCACCGTGACTTCCAGCAGCTGCCAAACCATTTTGCTTCCACTGCCCAGGCTGTCAGCAGCGCCAGTCCAAATGTCTGGAGGCCTTCGTGATGACGACACTGGTGTGCATTGCTTTCTGCTCATGCGACGGCGAGGCAATTTGATTAGTGTCACATGTCAGGCTTGGAAAAACACCATCATATCAGAGTTGTGAGTCTTTAATTATTAAGCTATGCATTTAGTATCATTTAGTCCTCCTTGCAGACCTTCCTCGAAATGTTCAAGAACAAATTTGCAAAGAAGGGCGTGCTGCTCAAACACTGCCTGACGACCCTCAAGACATCATCGGCCTCTTCAAGAGGAATGCGTCAGACGACCACTTGTGTCAGGCCTGGGAAAGCTGATTCGCCCGTCAAGTGGCTACTAGTTACTTACTGTGTTCTAAAGGTTATGAGAGCAACTATGTCCGCTATGTTGGGTTGTTGGACGCTGGAAAATTGTGACAGGTTGCATTATTATTGTGGCCACAGTCCTACACTGCTTTGTTGGGCCCCTTGCCGATGCAGCCTCGGCCTTTGGAACTTGTGAAGGAAGGAAAACGGAAAGACTACTTGAAATTGGCAGAAATGATGCTAGAGAGGGTTCCGACGCAGTCAACTCAGCGGTCAGTTGAGTTCTTGTTGAGAACATGTGATCCCGGTGCAATCCCGGACGATGTACCACCCTTGCCATGGATCCACCAAGTGGTACCGAATCCAAATTCGGGCCTTCCTCGTGTTGTTGGACGAATCGCTCCAGCAATGAGATTCCACGCTCGCCACTCGAGGGTTTGAAAAACACAATGTGCAGTAAGCTGTCTCAAGATGACAACCGTGCAGTTGAAGATGAACTCCATGCCATGGTTTGAACAAGAGTGAACTTAAGTCGCTCCCATGCATACACCGCAGACCTTTTTGTTTTTTCCCCATGGACCTATGTTGGATCCAAGGCCAGCTGACTGGTTTTGACTCTAACTCTGATTCCCAATCTACCCAGTGCGGTCTTCACCTAAGCTGCAGGCAGAGTCATGCGAAGCCTGAGGGAGAGGCCAAATATAACGAGTGAATGTACATCATACTGTAACTTTCTGTCTGTATGTCATGAGGCGAGGGAAGCCATCAAAAAGGTTGTTCAGGAGTCACTACTGTTTTGAGGGAACTTTCTAAGAGAACACCGTGCGACAGGACATGTTGGACAACGAAGACTCCCAGGTCGATGGGTTAACTTTCGAAGAGGCTGGAGTCCATAAATCACATTTCACGTGCATGACAACTAATGGATATCATACTTGTGCCTTTGCCAGATGGTGGATTGGTA